GATGTTAAAGCGAGGGATTACGATAAGATTGTTGGGTTCATAGTGGAAGTGGGATGCTGAATAATGCCCCAGTGGCGAAAAAAGCAAAGAAATCCGTCAAGAACGCGCAAAATGGGACCCCTTTCTTTGCCCGTTGACCTCCGATAATGGACGAGCTAGCAACCAATTAAGAGGTCGTTTGCACATGTTATGCTGATAGCCTCTATCATTCGAAGTCTACTGGCAACCCACTAATGGGGCGGAGCGCAGAAAGGATTGGCAAGCCCAGTACGCTGCAACTAGCGCACCTTTGGTCACAAAAACGCTACATCTCGTTTCCTTGACCCTGACTACTGCTTCCAATTGTGCTATATTTCCGTGCTGCACAGACATTTTATCGTGATCCTCTCGCTTTAAGGTACATTTTATGGGCGAATACGTGGAAGAAGGGTATAGGTACTTTGAGAGATACTGGGCGGCGGAGGGAGATAAAGACTTGGATACGACGGAGTTACGGAACGAGTGAGGCGCAGACACAAGCGCATCGCAACGGTCGTGCGTAGATTCGTTAGGCGTGCAAATGTGCGAGTATGTCCCATAACACTTTCACACGCGTTTTGGTTTCACTGGCGTTTTGGACCCAGCTAAAAATTTAGTGCACTGGAGATTTTGTTCCAATGGAACAAGCGCGGAATGTATCTTTGAACAAGTTTTAACCTTCATTCGACCCTAACTAGGTGGAACACTTGATAAACCCGGGTAAGTTCTAGCCTACCTGGAAGTGCCACATGGCACTTTTGCTCGGTACGCGACCTCTAATGGTGACATAGAAATTAAGGCGTTGGCAACCGTAACTTACATGAAGCCATACTTATTTTGTTGGTGTTACAGATCTCTCCGATTACTATCCGTCAGTGGAATGGGACATCATGTCGAGAGTGGCACGACGACGATCAAAAAACTATCCGAGCTGTTGCCCTCAGAGCGCGTACATTGACATCATGGTGTGTAAGGCTGCTCACTTTCTTATACTTTCTACCATTAAATATAATATTATAATATCTTTGGTGATAGGATGGTTCTGGTTTCAGTATTACCTGGAACTTCGACGTAAACCACTCTTCTACACGGTGAACCTCGTTTTCCCGTGTGTTGGCATCTCGTTCCTCACTATTCTCGTGTTCTATTTGCCATCTGATTCTGTGAAAAAAAGTCACATGTGCATTCTATACTGTAGCGCTAACTATCTCTCTGCTGTTGGTGCTAAATGCTTTCGTAAAAATAATGAAAAATATAATAAGTATAGCTTCGCTGTTCTTGTGGTAGATTCACTCGACTTCCTGATTGTTTGAGAACTGCTCACCCTTATGCAACGCAGTTCATGATTCTAATCCCTTAGAATGTGTGAAAACTTAAATTTTACCCGTAATGGCCTTGAATCCTCTGACTACAATGCCACCTACCGATGGGTGCCACTATGTGCCGCGTGGCACGATGGCACAAAATTCCCTCTTCGCATTTGAAAAACATTTGTAACACACCAATAAGCAAGTTTCATTATCTATGTCTAGCTCGGCTTACAGAAATGTTTACTGAGAGCTAATTTATATAGAATTTTAGAATGTGCCATTTAGCTTTCGGTAGGTTTAGTACCTTAATTTCGATCTGCAGCCGTTGAAGCCCGGTGTACGCCCTTCGCGGCTCAACCCGAAGATTATTCCTCTCCGGCATGTAACGGATCTTGCAGTTTTCCACATTACCTACAAATCATACCTAGTACAACAGTAAAAGGTCATCATGTCCAGGAAATGTTGAACTCTTCCCAAAAGCCAGAATAGGTATAATTAGGAAATAGATGACCGCGCTCGCAAAACTAGGGAGACGGTCAAATCATCGTCGGCTGAGGGGGTCACGCCGCTCTCGCGCACGGGCAGCATCGCGCGCGGCAAATGGTGCGACGATTTTTGCGTGGGTCTTGGGTTAACGGTCCTTGTCCGTAAGTTGCTGGTGGGGTTAGAGAACTGATAAGACCGAAGTTCCAGGCATCAGTGAGCCAACAAGTGTCACCTTAAATCTCCGCAGTAAGGCATAACATCAGTATGACAGAATAAGTTTGTAATAATGGCAAAGGACAAGAATCCTGTATTTTAAGGGGCAGGTGATCATATACCGTGTTTCACGACTGGAAACTTCATCTAATCCTACATTCCCCAATGCTAGAACCCTGAATTCTAACCACGGCCGACGTCGCATCGCGGGCTGCGGCGGCTGGCGCGGCGACCTAGCTATCGCCACGATTGAATAGTCACGCACCCGCAAAATTATATGGCCGGGATTTAATGGGCTTCAGGATTATACATACTATCATAACTGGGGCCATTATATGTTTAAACAACTTCTTTCTGAAATGGAATTGGACACTCTCCTTTCTGTAGTTTTACAACTGCTAACGGTGGGGCATTTTGGGGCAATGGTTCACTCCAAAGAGTAGATCACCCACGGACTTATTATGACCTGATTGTGGAGTAAATTACTGAAGGCTTCGAACAACGAGGACATGGAGAGCTTTTTGTTATGTATCCCACATTTTCATTTTTTCCCATTTCCAGACCGAGATCATACCGGCCACTTCAATAACGCTACCATTGATCGGAAAATATTTACTATTTACCATGGTTATGGTGACGCTCAGCGTCGTTGTTACTGTAATTTGTGAGTTTTCGGTGAAATTTTCAATGTATTCGTCACTTCTCTTACGATTACTATTCAGCTCTGAATTTACATTTTCGAACACCCACCACCCATTTGATGCCGAAATGGGTGAAGCTGGTGTTTCTGAAATGGCTGCCGAAAATTCTGTTCATGAGGCGACCACTTGATGACGGCGATGACTCATTCAAAAGAGTGAGCTCCAGAAAAGGAATAGGTGAGCTTGAAAATATTCTTTTTTATGAATGATTTACATTTATGAATCACTGAAAGATTTGAAAGACCTCATCACCACAAAACACGGTGTAGATGAGCACGCATTCGAATACTACTGCAACTTTGAATAGAAGTCGAGAGTGGGGCGCATCCCAAGAGGGATCGATCCGTGACAAGTGTTTGATCCACCCTTCTTTATTGAAGACCGCTAACGAAGATCTACTCTCGCATAAATCGACCATTTCAGTACCAACAACGTTGGATGGGAAAATTCCCCTAAACCTTCACGAGCATCGAGTGAGTCGGGATGTCGGAAAAAGTCTCGCCAATGCTGCGATTGACGATCGAATTCAGAAATTGTACTACTCTCCACAGGTATCGGGTTTCGTGCTGATTCTTCGTTGTTCGCTGATGGTCGTTTCACAGTTCGCAGGAAAAATCGCGAGAAGACCTTTTGAATCTTCTGCAATTTTATTGAATGACCCCAAAATAGCAATGCATCCTTTGCAGGTGGTGAAAGCCTTTGAGAATATCTGCTTCATCGCTGAACTGCTCAAGAAGAAGGACCGAGACGATAAGGTACTAGTAGTCATTAATTTATTGAATAGAGTTACTTTGACAAGCGAAAGAGAGCCTTTTGTGGTGGACGAATTTGATTCTGTCACTTGTTGTGGTCAATATTGAATAGAAACGAAACTACGAGCTTGGGAAACTTACCATTAGTGTCAGCAAATAACTGATTGGATCCACCGAGCCTAGCATCTCAGAGGCAAAAGTTGTCCAGACATGAACATTAGAGCTACTAGGGTAGTTGACTTACCAAGGGAGAAAGAAAATTCAACCTCTGCAAGCACCGAAAACTAAAGCTTCTTCTCCGACGGACGAGCTCCGTGACAGACAGTCTAAGAGACGCTGAGCGCTAAGGGAGAGTAGAGTCGCAGACAAGAGAAAGTAGAGAACGAGCGAGACACCGACAGCAATGCAATCGCATACGTCGGCTTGCTCGATGGAAAATAACCTAGGGCGCCCTTGGCACGGGCTCTTAAAGGCACACCGCGATCGGGTGTGATTCTTGAAAAAAAGAAAGCAGAGGTGCGAATTGTATCGGCTATGAAGAAAAGAAGGAAATAGCTCGTAGAGAACGCTTAAAGTAAGAGCTAACTCATTCTGTAATCCAGCTCTGCTAAGGCAGTTCGACAAGTAGTGAGGAGGGGTGTGGATAGATTCGAGAGGACGCGACCGGGAGTGGCTGACACCCGACATGTAGCGAAAGAAGGGAAGAATGTGAATGCAGCTGACCAGTCTTGCAAGCGCATAGGCGCCTTTGTTGCGCACTTCTGCGCCGTGAGAGAGGAAACTCAATTTGAAGCCCCACTGCTAATGTTACCCGAAAGAAAGAAATTCTTTTCCTTGAATTGCATCGATGTTGGCATTTTGCATTCCCTTTAAAGTTAAGTCACCTCTGCGGTTGTCAACCAAGTTAGTTACATTATTCATCAGAAAGTTCGTCCCATCGAACTGACTAATCTTACACTTTGCCTATGAGAGTCTGTTCAGCTGGACAGGCCGATCCGATTAGGGAGGTTCATCGTAGCCTCTACTGTTATATCAATTGATCTCTTATTTTAGCGAAACTTAATTTATTGCCGAGAATGCAACACCTGTTCTAGCGATCGAATATGTTAAAGTTCTCAGGTTCAGATTCCACCTTCATCGAATATTCATCTTTGGTCTAAAGAACAACGATAACAAGCGCAACTAGGTTTTGCGCAGTTACAGCGCGCGGGTTCAGCTGGTCGACAAAGCTGCTCCATCGCCTCAATCGCCCTTAAAGCTGGATGTCGCGATTTATAACATCCCCTTCAAAAAGCCTAGAAATTTGTGCGGCTGCAGACCTCTACACCACAAGTAACGCCAGGCGCCAAATCAAATCTTTAGTAGTGTTAAATAGTGATCCGTCTGTATTTTTAGGTAAATATCAGTTTAATAGTGCAACCATTTGATCACAATACAGCTTAACAGGTTAATTATTCATTGGCAAAAAAACAATGCATTTTTCTGGACGCCGTCGCCCTGTGGTATGGCGCACCTGACCAAATTTCTGCTTTGAAGGGGAGCTATTCTGCGAGCCTCATGTCGCGAGTCGCAATTTGATACTCTGAAACACACAATGTCTGCCGGAGATTTTGACTAAAACTACCGTCGAGTAAACATGCTACCTTCAGATCGACGAGGATGGAAGATTGCGATGGTGCTGACCGATTATTTCTCCTGATCTTCTCATTTGCATGTTTCATCGGTACCGTACTCATTCTGCTACAGCTCCAACTCTCTACGACGATCGGAAACCAATCGATTTGCAGTATCGTCCTGCCAATTTGAGTGCCCTTTTCTGATCACAGACCCTAGGTCAACGTCATTATGAACTATTAGAGATTGTTATTTGTTCACAGTAACTTATTAAAGAAAATAAAGCACTTCTATCTAAAATGAGTCATAAACTAGGCTCTCTCATTGTTTGTTGATAATCTCGAACGGCACACCGTCCGTCTCATTGCTGTGTAAGTAAGTGGTCCATGGCATTCAAAAAATGACAGATAGGAGCTGATTGGTCCACCAGTCATAACAGCCGAGAACCTTAGAAGTCACATTGGCATGACAAGTGAAGTTGTGCTATCTCTAAACTCCATTGCTAACCCAATAGCGTACGCATATTCCTTAACTGTATTTCACCACGTCATGGAAACGGTTACAATGAGAATCGCACAGGGCGGGCGAAAACTCCACCCATACTATCGTGTGCTATTGCGTCTTAAATAATTTTGCTTCCTTTTTGTTGTACTGTGGACGATCTGTCCTGTCTACGATCATGTAAGGCGCACAAGCTCTACCACTAGTCGCAAATGTATCGAGGTTCGCAATCGTCTTCTTCCTCGAGATCTACCTTCAGTGCAATTATTGTCCGATTCATAAAACTGGAATATCCCATGGTTCGTCAATATTAACCTCACAGTTGTGCAAATACTGCGCTCTAACTAAGATGCCTGCACATCCTTCCCCTGGAGTTCTCCCCACCTTGTCAGCTCAGCATTACCTATCTCTACTGGCCACTTCTACGTCAGCTGTGAAGCACGCGTTCACGGTAAATCAAGGGTTTCACTGCTGATTTTCACCCCGCACGGAGCATGCTAGCTGCAATCTCAAACTTCATACGCTGTGGCGTTGCGTGTTTTGCGTTGATAGAAAGCACGAGCAGGTATGAATGTGTGAGGTCATAGTAGTCATGAGCCGCTATTTCGGCGAGAGAGCGCGGTAGGGAGCATCAAATTGAGCTTCACACCGAGTTTGAGTAGTCCATGGTCATGATCTGGGTGCTAATTCTTTGGGGCGGGAGGGAAGTTGCAGCCGCAAGGCGCGACTTGTTCGCGCTCTTTAATATGAAGAGAGGGATCCGTGGGCAAGGGGAGTGCAGCCGGTTTAGCAGTGATTGGAGGAGGTGAGGTGAGCCACTCGACAGACGAGCTGAAAATCGAGCTACACGTCTCCGAGCAGACGTTCTTTGTGGTAGTGGGACTAAGCCTTTTTAAAGGAGGTAAAGAAAGCGGAGATTCTGTAATAGTGCGCTTGTGTGAGAGCTCCCAGACAGCACAACAAAACGCTGAATTGCCTAGCCTCACGGTTGACAGATGTCCGGAGACCTTCAGAAAAGCGAGAAAGTGTCTGGTGCAGACCAAACACCACAACTGACGACGGCCTCCAAGTAAATCTGGTTAGGAAGTTGTTCATAGTGATAGCTGATCGCGTGGCATGCGCACAGCTTTGAAAGTTTGTCATTGTGATAGCTGATTTCTGGTAAATGATAGTTGTAATTAGTGACAATCGATAGAATACAACTGCAACAGGCTAATCATTTCATTGGCAGAAAACATTAACATTTTGTGAAGGCCGTCGTCACTTGTGGTGCATGGTCTGCACCCGACACTTTCTCGCTTTTTGAAGGGGGAGGGGTTATATGGCAGTTCAACTTGTGCGTAGGTGTATGTAGTAGTTGTTCTGACGCTAAGGAGAAAACGCGAGCAGTATGAATATGTGAGGTCCATAGTAGTCATGAGCCGCATTTTTCGGCGAAGCGGTAGGCGGGAGCATCAACTGAAGTGCTTCAATGCTTAAAAGCTTGAGTAGTCCATAGGTCGATGATTTGGGGTGCTAATTTAGTTGAGGGGCGGGAGGGAAGTTGCAGCCGCAAGGCGCGACTTGTTCGCGCTCTTTAATATGAAGAGAGGGATCCGTGGGCAAGGGGAGTGCAGCCGGTTTAGCAGTGATTGGAGGAGGTGAGGTGAGCCACTTGACAGAAGAGCTGAAAAATGCGAGTTTACACCTTCTCCCTGAAAGGACGCTAACATGGTGCGCGTCGCGGCTGCGACTATCCCCTCCAACTAGACCAGCACCATATTTGCTGACTTCAGCACTAGGAGAAGAAAGATAGAGAGAAGAGTAATATAAATTTTTATACGAAAACACGAATATATACAAAATTCAAATAGCATGCTTTACAAGTACTGAGCGTTGTTACAAGTAGCCGGAGGCTTAGGCTAGTAGCTGTTGAGAACTCACAAAGAATCGATGTAGGCACTTAAAAATCACATTGATTTTGGCGTCAATACTAAGGAATAACCTAAAATAAGTGATTTTCCATATCAAGCAGAGGGTAATGCAGTCATAAGCGAGCAGTTGGAGTTCATCTGTCCCCGAAACATGCCCAAGAGGATTGCCCAGCATTTGGAACCACTTATTGATCGGGCCACCGTACCCAACATGGGAATGGGGCAAGATGTTTCGAGTAAAGCATGATCGAGACTATTTTCAAAATTCGGGGGGGGGGGGAGGAGGTTGGTTTAGCTTTACACTCTGAACCCCTTTTGAATGCCCTATGGAGGCTTTCTGAAGCGATTTGGCCTTAATAGAACATCTAGGTAGGATCAGAGATGAATATTCCGCCGCGTTGGGTGGGCGCGGATCCACGGGCGTATGAAGATCCAATTTCTAGCCCCTAGTCCTAATGACGGGTTTTTAGGTGCAAAAGTGGCAAGACCCACGACCTATTCTTGCAGGGCAAGCAGCTATGCCACAGAGGGAATATGTTCACGGGTACCATTTAGCGGAGTGTGCCTTTGAGGCAGATAGCAGGTTTAAAGTGAGCCGCTAACAAATACACCTCGCCCAAAATCGCCTGAATGCGCTCCGCTTAATATGGAGGACACTAGTACAATGGAACCAATAAAGTGAAAGATCATACATGCTGTACATTCCAGGGAAAAAATACATTCCTTTGTTCAAGAAGACGAGGAGCTCAAAGGGGATTAGTTGGTGCTTATCCAAGCGCTTTGATTCCTCTTGGTCACTTAGAATGGTGAACTTTGAACTACAGGGGGGAGAAAAAGAGACATTTTGCCCACTTCGACCTTTTTTCTTCGCAGAGATTGCCGTCGTTGACGGAAGTTTCCTCAGCAAATATTCCCTAAATGTCCCTCTATAAGTACACGCAGGCCCTCCTTCACTACCCTCACCGTCTTCAGAATATGACGTCATCTGTCACCGTCGTCGAGCTCAGGGAGGCCTACAGTAACTGCTTCAGCCTGAAGCTCTTACATAATTTCTTGGATCGATTCAACGTGGGATAGTTTCCTAGGGACATTAGCTCTAACTATGCAAACCCCTCGGAACCCGCCCTTCGGAACCCGTCGTAACGGTACACGATCAGTCGAGAACCCCATTGAGCTCGACCAGAGCACCATGTTTCCGGGGCAAATTTTTCTGATGCCGTCCACGTAGATGGCCACTATGAAGGCTTCCTATGAAATGGAATGCGCTCTTCCAATTCTAAGTCGAGAGCACTACCGGCTTGAGCTAGCAAAGTGTGATTAAATCCGAGTTATGGAGAACAAAATGTCTTTCCCCCTGTATAATTCATAAATGTTGGGTGTACCTGAATTGAGGTGAAGGATGAGCGAGAGAGGCGCATCGGCACAGAGCGCCGCAAACGTGTATTCACGATGAACTTTCTTCATTATGAACGTTTGAAAAGACAATACTCACTTAGTTCCTTTTTCGCTCGAGGGACATGATTTACTCAATCTGGAGCTTCCCTCCAAGTATTAGGTTTACTGTAATCCGCACGACTTACTAATGTACCGAATGCTCCCTCCCCTCCCCCTCCCCTTCTCATTTCAGACAGATCGACCTGCAAGATAAGTTTTTTGGAAAGTGCTTATCAATAGAGTGAAATCTGAGAGAAAAGTGAAAGTGAAATGTGAAAGTGAAAGCGAGAGCCAAATTTAAATAAATGCATTAACCTAATAGGAATAGCGATTTCGCTGATTCCTATGAATCCCTCATTTCAGTGGAACAGTGACGCGTTGACCAGCCCTATAGAAACGACTACAATGCCGATGCCATACATGTACTAAGGCCAAATACAAACATATGCTTCGCGTTTCTCAGAACTCTAGATCAAGACCAGCTACCAATGTGCATTGGCGGTCGCAGAAATGTGACATTTGGGTGAGATCCTCTCAGGGAGAAAAAAAAAAAAAAAAAAAAAAAAAAAAACATCAATGGCAACAACGTACGGCGTCTTTCGTCGAAGAGGAACATCAGGGACTGAGCGCCGGCAGATGGAGGTCGATTGCTTTTGAATTCATCTTTTTCCGCTGAAAGTGAACATATCATTCGAAAATTGCTGGGAGCTT